ATTTTACTATAAATGCAAGTCTTTCATTGGTGGAGAGGTTGCAATGACGTCATTAACCAACCCTGGGTCGTTCCAAATCCTGTATAATCGAAAACGCTATATGATACATTGAAACAAACAAGGTCTCTCAATATATTGACCACTCTGTGGTATACGTATGTATCGATATATATTTGCGTATACAATCAAAGTGAGTCATTTAATGCAAAAATAAAATGTTTATATAATTTACAACGATTTTTTTGTATCATACGTCATCAAATGCATCACGACAATGATTAACATAAATGGAAAGAAAATATAACTTTTAACGAAACAATTTATAATAATATAAAAGAGCTACTGTGCTCTGGCAGATATTGACAAGATTGACGGATCTGTTAAGTTGTTGAAGAATAAAATACGAGATGACTTTTCTTTCTTCACAATGCACAGGATATTAAATCTTTATATATCTATTTTGAAAGCTACTATTGAAGCAAGTAAAGTATGATATAGCATTAAAAGAGAGATAAAAATATTATTAGGACCTTGAATAAGTTCTCGCTGTTTTTTTTGTTAAAAAAAAACATTAATTTAAAATATAAGTAAATTATTAACAACAAGCTACAGAGCCCAAGCTGGATTTTCGTGCTTAATTTATTAATATATTATAACAAAAGTTTAGGTCAATCTAGACGTTTCGACCATCTGGTTGTGGTCATCTTCAGTAGTTAGTTATTATAAAATTCGGAACATATTAATAAACAATCGTTACTTATAAAACTAATTCGGATATTACAATATTACGGCTTTACGATATTACGATATTACGGCTTATTTGACAGAGTTGTAAAGTTAACACACCCACAATATTGGCACAAGAACATCGAGGAAATGATTTCCCTACTTTTAATTAACGGCTATCCATTGGAATTAATTTTTAATAGTATTAACGAAAGACTTAAAAAATTTAGCAATAATTGTAGTAATAAAAACAAAAATAGCAATGATAAAACGGGTTATTTTACGATACCATATATAAAAGAAACTTTTGATAAATTCACACGGAACATGAAAAAATACAATCATCATTTAGCCTTTTCGTGTAACAATAAACTTAATAGGTTTATAAAAACAGGGAAAGACATTATT